AAACGTTTTCTGGTTTGAAAACGAGCCATTACCCCATCCAAGAAATATACCAACATTGTCACTGCCAAGATTCGCGACGACAATATCAAGTATGGTATCGTTGTTGAAATCACCAACGGCTACTGACCACGAAGAGGAATCAGTTGTATATGCCATTTGATTTTCGAAAGAACCATTGTCGTGTCTCAGAAAAACACCAATTTTGTTATTGCCTGAATTCGCCACTGCTATATCCATTTGACTGTCATTGTTAAAATCTCCAATGGCGAATGACTTAGGGCGAGATTCATTGCCAGTTATGAGTCTCATTTGCTTAAAAAAACCTTCATTAGGATATCCCATATATATACTGACACTTTTCCCATTACCATTAGAGACGACGATATCCAATTGGGTGTCATTATTAAAATTACCGACAGCTATAGATGAAGGACTAGTGCCCGTTGAATAGATCATTTGATTTGTAAAAACACCATTGCCATATCCAAGAAGGACACTCATAGTGTTGTCATTCCAATTAATGACGACCATATCCAGTCGGTTGTCATTATTAAAATCACCAACAGCTACAGCTATTGGGGCAGAGCCAGTCGAATATTTCGTTTGATTTGCAAAAGAGCCATTTCCATATCCGAGAAGTACACTTATAGTGTTGTTACCATAATTAGCGACGACGATATCCAGATGGGTATCGTTGTTAAAATCACCAACAGCTACAGACCATGGGGAAGTGCCAGTTGAATACGTCGCTTGATTTGCAAAAGAACCATTTCCATATCCGAGAAGTACACTTACGGTGTTGTCATCCACATTAGCAACGACGATATCCAGTTTGGTATCGTTGTTAAAATCACCTACAACTACAGAAATTGGGCCAGAGCCAGTTGAATATGTCGTTTGATTTGCAAAAGAGCCATTTTCATATCCGAGAAGTACACTTAAAGTATTGCCATAATAATTAGCAACAACGATATCCGGTCGGGTGTCGTTGTTAAAATCACCAACAGCTACAGACCTTGGTCTAGAACTAGTTGAATATTTCGTTTGATTTGCAAAAGAGCCATTGCCATATCCAAGAAAGATGCTTACAGTGTTGTTACCATAATTAGAGACGACGATATCCAGATGGGTGTCGTTGTTAAAATCGCCCATAGCTACAGAGAATGGGTCAGAACCAGTTGAATATGTCGTTTGATTAGTGAAAGAACCATTTCCATATCCGAGAAGGATACTTACAGTGTTGTCGTACTGATTAGCGATGACGATATCCAGTTGGGTGTCGTTATTAAAATCGCCAAGAGCTACAGATCGGGGCCAGTTGCCAGTTGAATATTTAATGTGATTACTGAAAGATCCGACGTCGTGTGTAACCAGCACATCTATATAATCGATGCCATCATATGCAACGAAAATTTCTGAACGTCCATCTTTGTTGAAACTACTGGCACCAATAATCAATGGAGCGAAATCGAAATCTACACTGTAACGTCCTTGATTTTCAAATGTTCCATTTCCACTTCCCAGAAACGTAATAAGATTTTTAGTACCATAATTAGCCGCGGCTATATCTGCTTGACCGTCTCGATTGAAATCATGGATAGTGATGAAGTAAGGATGAGAATTTAAGCCTGTTGAGAGCACCATTTGATTTCCAAAAGTGTCATTTCCATATCCAAGAAGGACACCTATGTTATTAGTACCATAATTGACAACAGCGATATCCAATAGGCTATCATTATTGAAATCAAAAAGGGCAAAGTTTCGCAAACGAGAACCATCGGTAGGCGCAAATGTGATTTTATCTTTCAGAGCTCCTCTGTCATATCGAAGTAGTACACCTACAGTTTTCTTATTAAAATTAGCGACGGCAAGATCCGGCCGAGTGTCGTTGTTAAAGTCACCAACAGCTACAGCAATTGGGTCAGAGCCAGTTGAATATGTCGTTTGATTTGCAAAAGAGCCATTGCTATATCCTAGAAGTACACCTACAGTGTTGCCACCAAAATTAGCAACGACGATATCCAGTTGGGTGTCGTTGTTAAAATCACCTACAGCTACAGCTATTGGGGCAGAACCAGTTGAATATGCCGTTTCACCGGCAAACGAGCCATTGCCATATCCTAGAAGTACACCTACAGTGTTGCCATCAAAATTAGCGACGACGATATCCAGATGGGTGTCGTTGTTAAAATCACCAACAGCTACAGACCGTGGAGAAGTGCCAGTTGAATATGTCGCTTGATTTGCAAAAGAACCATTTCCATATCCGAGAAGTACACTTACGGTATTGTCATTCACATTAGCAACGACGATATCCAGTTGGGTGTCGCTGTTAAATTCACCAACAGCTACAGTAATTGGGAGAGAGCCAGTTGAATATGTTGTTTGATTTGCAAAAGAGCCATCTCCATATCCGAGAAGGACACTTATACTGTTGGCAGCCGAATTAGCAACGACAATATCCAGATAGATGTCGTTGTTAAAATCACCAACAGCTACAGAGATTGGCACAAAGTCAGTTGAATACTTCGTCTGATTTGCAAAGAAGCCATCGCCATATCCGAGAAGGATGCTTACAGTATTGCCATATAAATTAGCGACGACGATATCCAGATGGTTGTCGTTGTTAAAGTCACCAACAGCTACAGAGACTGGCACAGAGCCAGTTGAATATGTCGTTTGATTTGCAAAAGAGTCATTCCCATATCCGAGAAGAACACTTACAGTGTTGGTGCCCATATTAGCAACGACGATATCTAGTAGGGTGTCGTGGTTGAAATCACCAACAGCTACTGAGTACGGTAAAGTGCCAGTTGCATATGTCATTTGAATAGGAAAAAATTCATCATAACCAAGCATGGTACCTATAGTGCTCGTATCGTTGTTGATGAAGGCAATGTCTGAACGATTGTCGCTGTTTAAATCACCTATAGCAATGGAGATTGATGAAGAAGATCCAGTTGAATACATTTTTGGACTCGTAAAAGTACCGTTGCCATGCCCGACAAGTAGAGCTATATTGTCACTGCCATTATTGGTGACGACTAAATCCATTCGATTGTCGTTGTTGAAGTCACCAATGCCGATAGAATATGGAGAAGCAACGCCGAGCGAATATGTCGTGTGTCTTATAAAAGTTCCCTTGTCATTCCCTAGAAGTATACCCACACTGTTATTTCCATGATTGGTAACGGCAATATCTAGCATGGTGTCGTCGTTTAAGTAACCAACGACAATCGAGTAAGGATGGGAATTAAGACCAGTTGAGAACGTGCTTTGCCTTGCGAAAGTGCCGTTACTAGCTCCAAGCAGAATACCAACATTATTGGTACCATAATTGGCGATAGCAAGATCCATCTGCTTGTCATTGTTGAAGTCGCCACTGACAACCGCATACGGGAAAGAATCATAGCCCGTAGAGTACGTGCTTGGCGTTGTAAATCTTCCATTGCCATATCCATAAAATACACTTACACTGTGTGTGCCGTAGTTAGCAGTGATAATATCTAATGCTGCATCATTGTTAAGATCTGCTACATGAATCCAAACGGGCCGAGATGATTCAGTTGATAGAACTGTTTTGTTTGCAAAAGACCCATTTTGGAATCTGAGGAGTACACCGATGGTATTTGTACC